TTCTATGATTCTCCAGGGTTTCATTTTATTCCAATCTGAGTTCCATTCTCTTGTTTACATGGTCCTATCCCTGAGACACATTCTCCTTTCATCTGGAGCTTCTTTTTCAGCCTATTTTGTGCCTTATGTTCACTGACCTTCAGAATAAGCTGTACCAGTCCAGAAGAGAGCAGCACAGTTTGTTACTGTGTTTTGAGTACATCAGAAGGATCTTACGCTGATGCTATTTTTTGCTGATTTGTACTTTCACTCTCCTCATAGTTTCTCCCATCTTTCCCTTCCCTACAACATCCAGAGATATTATCATCACATCTTATGCAGTAGCCATAAGGTGTGGCAGAGCCTAATCTTGGTCACACAACTTTCAGCTGCATATCTAGGCCATCTGGTTCTGAGTTATTTCAGGTAATGAGTTCAAGATAAATCTCCAAGTCATTAAGAATAAATCAGTTGCTGCTGTGTTGCTTTCCCTGTGAACAGGATTCCCAGGAACACATTTCCAAGCTGTTATTAGTGGAAATTGTTTTGTTTTCAATGCGTTATAGTCTAGTCACTTGTCGTGCCAAACTAGTCATGGATGTAAGAATTTTCTACAAATGGACCACTTACATGAAAGTACTGCATCAGGCATCTGTAAGAAACAGCTTTTTCTGTGAGTGCAAAACCCATCTTGCTGCCTACCATTCTCAGACAGTTGGTTTCTACAGTTCACCATCACAGCTGTAAACTCACACTTACTTATTGTTGCTATCAAATATAAGTGCATTAGAATCATGAAACACTTGAACATAAAAGCATAAATCTTGATTTCCACCACCAGTATCCCAATGCGTCCGGGGCCAGTAGAATGGGTCTCCTAAAACTGTAGACCAGCTGCTCAGCTAGTGTAAATCAGCATCCTGTGTTGTGAAATGGAAAAATGTTGGTACTACTTAAAGGTTGTTTTAAAGAGATAAGTGAGTAATTAAGTGTTCAACATGTTCACTGGGAAGGGTAGAGTCTAATTTTCAAAAAGATTTACGTTATATATGAAACCAACCGACCCTACTCAGGGGATAAGCTCCAGGCAGGCTACGGTGCAAATCTGCACTGGAGGTCTGTAAGAATAGATTAGACCAACATTGCCACACATGGATGGATTCTGTTCTGGTGCAGCGGACAAAATGGATGTGCTCCAGAGATCTCTCTGTACAGCACACACAAATGTGCCTTAGCATTGAATCAGCTATGGGATTAGCCAAATGCAGTTGACTCTTTTGCTTCCTGTTCAAGACTGGCCAAAAGATTTGCAAACCAATTTAGACCTATGCTTTAACTTCCGTGCTATTCAGTCAGTTTCTCAGCTTGCACTCGATTTCTGAGCACAGCAGACAGGCAGTGCTCTTAAATCATTCCAGGGAACTCACCAGCAAATGCTAAATCATTCCAGTAAAAAGTTAATATTCTTTTTCCTGCTAAAATGAGCTATAACTGCTATTTATCTATATTATAGTTAACTACACTATATAAGTATCTGGTTATTACTGTAATACTACATAAAATGAACATATAAACCATATATTGTAGTTAGCTATAAAGCAGCTATAATAGCCATGTGTGGGTATTTCAGAAGGCATTTTATGGAGTTAAATCAATGGAAAAGCTTCCGTTGGCCTTAATGGAAAATGTATAAGGATTAAAGGGAGAATATTAGTGTATTTTGACATAAGTTAGGAGTAAGAGATAGGCATGGCAGAGACTTCATTGTATCATATGATGAATTCAGCATATATATACTTCCAATAATCAGGATTTTGCTAAGCACCTTAAGCGAAAAATATGTTCTCGGGTTGCATGCCCAATCTCCTGCTCTGTGTGCTGTGTTATTCAGGACACCTGGATGGAATTGTTTTGAAGCAGAAAAATGCTTTACAACAGAATAAAGACTGAGACCAAATTTACACACATGTAATTCCTGAGTTATGCCTGCGAGAAGGGTTGTGTTACAGGAAGGCTTGTGAGCACCTCACTCTCAGGGGCACTTTTCAAGACTAAGCGCTGACACTGGAGGAGTGAGGAAAGCTCTCTGCTCATACCTGCTTGCAAACAAGGGAAGAAGCAGATCAGAGCCCTTGTCAAATCCCCAGGGAAGCTCACTGACCTGCCAGTGGTCGTGGGCAGTTACAAAACACATTATACACCTGTGCCCATGTGTTCTATGGTAGCCAGAAGAAGACACATGTGCAGAGAAATGCTGCCCATCATAAATACTCAGGAAACTTAATGCAGCTTCCTGAGTTTACAGGCATACACTGCAGCTTGTATTAGATGTCTGAGTATTTATTATGTGGGAAGCTAGCAGCTCCAGGCCCTGCTCCCTTGCAGCCCAGCCCACTGCTGTTCCCAGAGCACACCTAACACCCACGGATCATGTTCAGATGCCCTCAATGCTCCACAGAGGCCAAGCTCTTTGAAATTATGTCTTGGTTATGATGGAGGAGGTAATGAGGATGGTGCTGCCATGTTTTTTTTTTTTTTGTTAATGGTGAGGCAGTTAGGGTTCCTGCCCAGTGAAACCTCAATATTAGGCCTTCCTCACCCTGGAGAAGCTCAAGCTGATGTTTCCCAAGCAAGCAGCCTAATGAGCAGGACAGCTGTGGGAGGGTAAGAAACTCAGAGCTTGTTGAAGATGAGCCCTGGTGGAATAAATTATACATTGCTCAAGGGGCCAGAAGGAGAGTGAGCAGGGACAAAGCGACTGCAGCAATGCTAGAAAAGGGGCAAAGTACAGGTGCTCCATGGCCATTCCTGCCTCTGACTCCTTGCAAGACAGTCCACAGAATATAGATGTAAAAATTCCCTTTATGAGAAGAATACACGTGTCTTAACTTCTCAGGTTAAGGATGGCACTAAGGATAGCTATTTCCTGGGCAAGAGCTTTAGCCAGCGGGGACACATAGGACCTGGGGAGGTGCATTACCATAGCCATAAGTTTTAAAAGAAACTGCAATCCTTGATTTTTCTTTTCCTAGGAAATGGTTGCAGGACTTTTCTTCAGGATAAATTTATTGGAAATGGATTCAAAATAAATGAGTATCCCTAGCTGTGTGCCTTAGTGAGCACCCCAGGCTACAGAGAGGGACTGGGTTTCATAGAAACATTTGCTAATGTAGATCAGGAGAAACTTGTGGATGCATTCATTCCAACCTCTCGCTCAAAGTAGAGCTACATACAGCAGGTTGCCCACTGACACATCAGCACAAATCTTGGCTAACTACAGAAATGGAGACACCACATCCTTTCCAATTCCAGTGCTTGACCACCCTCAGTATGAAAATGTTTGTCCTTGTATCTACTCAGAAATAGAGAGATAGCCCTGCAAGTCTTGGTGGGATTTGGCTCTCTGGTAGGCTAATTAAATAATATCCCACTGTATCACTTCCATCTATACATTCAGTGTTCCCATGCAGTTTTCCTAATTCCTGTTTAAACCTGCAGCATCATCCAAGCAAAGAGTCATACAGAGAATAACAAGCTGCTGCTCTTTCCTTGAGAAAAACATAAACCTTAAAGCAGGTATTTCAAACAGTTATAAATCATCCTGAACACCATAAATGTTCCCGAATATAAGCAGATACTCAGGAATGAAAACACAGGAATGGAGAAGCTGTTTATTACGTTGTCACTTTATACAACTAAACAATTTACTGTTTTGTTTGCACTGAGATATGTGTTTTTTTTATAGGTAGCAGCTGTACACCAGCTGTGTGAGTGGTTCTCTCTATAAAGATTACAGAGGGAACGCACAGGCTGCATTGTGGAAAAGGAGTTTCTCCTGCTGAGGAAAGATTTGACAGATGTACTGGATGCTGTCTTTCTGTGATTTATGCAGAGATTCCTCAAAAAACATGGTGTAAATGGGACCAGTCATCTTAACTGCCTCTAAATGAGTTACCACCTTCTTTGATAAATGGACCATGGTCTCAGGAGGTGGCTTTGTGTGGGGCTGGAGCAGGTCCAGAAAGTTCTTTACTGAGTCTGAGCTAATGAGACCCAGCAAACAATGCCTACTCTTTGCAGACACAGAAGCAGTGCTGCACAGAAGCAGCTAAAGTCTCTCAAGGATTGCCTGTAGCACCCAGGGCTGGGTTTGGCCATGCTGGATTTGTCAAGCTCACACATTTATACACTGCTGCATTTGAGCTAAAAGTCAATTTTCATTAAACTCATTGTCTTTTGCCATTTAAAATAATTCATTTTTATCCATTCCTGTGACTAGGACAGTTGCATTGCCTTCTCCATGTTATCTCCTACACTTCATCCCTTAAAAGAAGCTGGAAGCCAGAAGAAAATTTGAGGAGAAAAATGGTGGGCTAAAGCAAATGTTTCCCCTATAGACACTGGAGCTGCTCATGAGAGGAAGAACTCGAGAGCGTGAGCGTAGCAAGATAGCGGCCTCCCTCCTGCTCCAGGCACACAGTGTGGAGCCCCATATAGAAGCCAGCATGTCTCACAACTCTGCTGCTGTCCTGCATCTCAGCAGGACTTCACCTCCTACAGAGTGTTCAACCAGATCCTCTCCTATGCTTTTCTTCAAGGTTAAATGCCAATTCTCTGCCAGCTGAATCTGCCAAGGCTCACTCCCAAATGTTCTCTATTGCCAGTTTCTGACACTTTGAAAAATTAGATGCATGTGATAAAAAAAATCACAGTGAAATTTACAAAGATTATCTGCAATGTAGAAATAATCAGGCCCAAATTCCCTTATATTAGCACAGCTGAAAATTACAAACAAACTGGTAGTGAAAGCAAGACACTGCAGTCTTCATGATAGCAAGCCTGCCTATAGCTGGTCCAGCTGACAATATATGCAAGCACTTAGCAGTAATCTGCTCTTCAGACTCTGTCTGAGATGATTCAGCACTTAAAGACGCAGTCTCCAGTGCTACATTTTTCTTGAGCCAGAACTCAAAGAAACCCAACCCAACATCAATAAAACACACAATTACAAATGCTCTTACCTGACTTATCATGCTGAATGCATTTTTAATGTTACATTTGACTTCATGGTGCTTTGAGCTGCTGCTTGGACCTGTACAATCTCTTAGGGACATCAGATCTGCTGGGTACACCAGCCTCTAGTTTGGTATCTCGGTGTTGGCCAGCACCTGGTGGAAGACGAGAGAGGCCGTCATTCCAGCATTGTTTCCCTAGAGTGGCAGAAAATTGCCAGTGCCCGACTCTTAAAACATTTTTTGCTTTCTCTTGTCTATCATTTCAGCAAGTTGCAAATCTACAGTCTTCAGCACTGACAAATCCAGGTTTTGCTTTTCTGCTCTTGATGATACTCATTAATTAACCAGTGCTAAACATGGATGGGACACCACAGCTTTACTTCATACCTTGCTATAGGACAAGAGCTTTTACAGTTGAGACCTTAGACATAAGACCTCCTCCTAAACATTCAATTCAAGACCTGAACAGTGATCTGACCTCATTAGAGGCTCAGCATCACTTCTTCTCACTTTCTCCCAAAATATTTCTACTACCAAGCTCTATTTGCTTTTCATTGAGTGCATTCTCCCCAAATTTCCTTAATGCAGGCACTCACCCTGTGCCTTTGACTTCAGCCAGGAAATGTGCCCTGCCCTTCTCTCCAAGGTTCTTTCCTCCACAGCAGAGGTACCACAGCTGCTCAGGAACAGCTGCTGCGCTGCCAGGAATTACAGGCAGGTGCATTAAAGGAAATTGATCCTTGTTTCCTCCGCACTCTAACGGTGAAAGAGCTTGGTATGCTGTTGAGCTAGACCTGGAGCAGGAAGAAGAACTGTCCAGAGAAAGTCAGTACAGAAAGCTGGGAGGGCAAAGCACCAAAGCTGTTCCAAGCTGAACTCTTGTCACTGATTAGTCATTTGCATTTATTTATGCTCATTTAAAAGATAAAATTAAAAAATAAATCTCTGCACTCAAAGGTAGAAATGATGAAAACCTGTAAATAAATAAAGAACTCTAAAAGGAACCACTTGGGATATATAACTTCAACTTGTGATTTTTATTTTTTTTTTTTTTAATTTTCCTTTTTAATTATCTTCTTCAGTAGCTGGAAGAAAAAACTGCCAGAAGGCTGAGCGTTTTCTTCCCTTCTGCAACAAGCAAATACACATATTTGTCTGTCATTCTTCTTTAACTTTTTCTAATCAATCATTTTGTCACCTTGTAAACAATTTAAGTGGCTAAAAGGAAAACTGAATTAACAGAAATTATTCTGCCATTACTTAAAACTCCTCCTGTTCCCATTGTAATCCTTCCAAAGATATGGGAACTTTGAGAAGATACAGAATAACAAAGTAAGGCAGGAAGAGAGAAGTTTAAAACAAAAGCAACTAGAGAAAAAAAAAATCTTTTAGCACTACTTTTCCTCCTGTTATTGTCTGATGGAAGTTGAGTAAATAATAGTTTTATAACATTTGGTGGAGTTGAATCAGAAAAATGTCCACCCAATAATTAGATTTACTCTTTTTCTAAAATAGGATAAAGAAATCTTTATTTAAAATATCCATGAGCCCAACTGACAATTTCTAATCCCAACAAGAAAAATGGATCAGAACAGTTCTTGATCTGCTCACGTCGATCCCAATTTTGCAGTTCTGTTAGAAGCTTGTGCAGTTGTGTACCATAGCACTTCTCTGGCCCAAACTGTGCTGTGTACATTTTGTATATTCCTCCATACCGATGTGTGAATATATATATATTCATGCATACGTACTTGCAAACATTTGCATATTTATAACTATCTTTGCGTTTGTATATGCATAGATACATAAAAGAACTATGAATTGATCTTTAAATTAGAAATTAACATGAAAAAGTGCTACCTGCTTCAGGGAGGGGAACGGAAAACAGATGTCAATCTCCTTCCATGTTTCTTCCTGCACTTCCAGCTTCTCGCTCTGTGGTTTTGGGATGGAAATCTGCAAGAACTCCAAAACTTCAGAGATTTTAGAAGAGGACAGCAGTTTGTTTCTTTTCAGAATTTTGAAACAAATTTGTATGTATACTTGTTGAGATTTTTAGTCAGAAACTATTTACTCCAAACACAATCTGAGACTCCAATATACTACAGTAACAAGACATAGAGTGAAGCTACTGAAGTATATTGTTAGATCTGGAACATCTCATGTTTTTCTATTTATAAAAGACCATATATACCCAGTGCATATTTGCAACCAGTGTAAGTCCTCCCCATTGCCTTCAGAAAGTTTTGGCTAGCTTAAAGCGTTAACTATAGTATGTACTGAAAACAAGGGAGGATGGGGAAAAAAAACCCGAATACCAACCAAATGCATGGACTAAAACCAGAAATCTCAGCTGCAATCTACTGCCTGCTTTCATCTTCACTTTTTCCTCTTTCTTCTCACTTTTGCTGGCCTAGAAATAGCCTTGGTGATGATGCAAAGTTTCATTTCTGAATTTTGAAGCCAGTGTAATGTCTTTTATAAGATAACATCCTCAGTCACCTCTGCATCAGTACACGCTGAGACATTTTGTGGATTTAAATGTGAAGGAGTCAGAAGCCTGAAAGAGCTGGGTTTGTTAACGAGTCAACAGCCTCTTACACAATATTTCCAGTCTAACCTGAAATGGATAGTACTAGGAATTGCAGTGGAAAGCAACTGCTTTCTGCTAACAGTTTCTAGAGAGAATTTGCAAATGGTGGAAAAGGCACTCTTTGTTCATGCTGTATGCTAGAATCAATTTATTGCATATTGCATATGTAATAATAATGCACATTATTGTTTCAAGACATGCTGCTGTTCTTTTTGACTGCCTTGTGCCTCTGCAGTTCAGAACAACCATGCTCCCTTCCAGTTGGTATGAATAAGTTTCAGCTCTCTCCTTGTTCTTCCTTCCCCCTGTGGCAGGCTGCAGAACACTGGCCTGAGGAGGAGACATGACTGCTACTTACAGTACTACAGCAGTCCCAACCCAGCCTCAGCCTTGAACCACCTGAACACTGCTGGTCTTTGATGGGATTAGTATCAAGGTGCCCACAGCTGGTTTGATATCAGCTGAGCAGCATTTACTTCTACAGCCCTGGCTCAGCTTTTATCTTACCAAAAATTGTCAAAAAAACCATGATCTCTGTCCCACCTGAAGTAGAGCCTCAGGGAATTTAGTACCTGTACCCATGAGCCCTTTCTGAATGTGATAATGTTGATATCTGGTACCATTCCTTCATCTCTTTTGTAAAGGCACTTCTGTCCTGGGAACTGCATCTTGACTGGGAGGGCTATCTGTGAGAAGGGAGAAGAGTTGTCAGAAAAAATAAGAATTAACTACAATTACTCCGGAAACAGAGCTTGCATTTTTTCCTGCAAACAGTACGATGCTTACCTGTCTTTCAGGCATTGAATGACGGTTCTAGAGATGAGCACTGTTCTCAGGAAAGTCCCCTTTTCCCTCATTTTCCAAATACTGCGGGCTTTAATGTTGCACCTGGCCATAGCATTGTACCTATAATGTTTTATCTGCTTCTACAGAAGTCACTGAAGGCAAGTTAATTAAAATAGCTTGAGGAGAGCCTGGGAATGATGATTAGGCCTAAAGTTCAACAGGGAGCCTGTAAGAGAAACAGCACTGACGTTCTTGCTAACCCCTATTTATCGATGGCTGCATTGCATCAGCTGGGATTTCTTCATTCTATCATTTGCAATAGATGAAGAATCATGATTGGACTGGGTGCTATGGTTAAGTCTGACTTTTTATTTATTTTTTAACTCATTAATGCAAGATATTTGAATTTCCAGTAGTGAAGGAACATTAATAAATTTTTTTTTTGATGCCTCAAAGGCTGAGCCCCCTGAATAGTTACCTCTTCATGAAAGGCAGGGAGTTGTAGCACTTCTGCAGTATCTGACTTCTTCAGCACTGCAAAGATTGAGAATATGTAAGGAATGGGTCAAGAGAGGAAAAGCAAGATTACCCCATTAAATTACCATCCTCTTAAAGATGGCCTCATTCTTCTATGCACTCTTCACACGCATATTTGTTTGGAATCTCTCCTACGGAAATTTGTGAAATGCAAAATATTTTTAATGGGAAAAAAATGTATCATGTTCCATGGATGTTTATTATTCTGCACTAGAGACAAAGCTGAGGGTAGAGTTGGTGTAAATCCCTGAAAGTCAGTGATGACAAATTTATTTTCCTATTCAGTGTTTTTAATAAGTATTTATAAGAGCAGATGGTGGGCAGCAGCAGAACATGTTCAGTTTTATCGAGACATTTGGCTAACAAGCACAGACTAAAATGCATTTCTTTCCTTCTTGACTTAATAATTTTAATTAGAGACAAAAGGTGTGGTAGTCTCATTGTCTGGAGGCATATGTGCAATATTGTGTTGGTTGGGCAGGGCTGGGTGGGAGAGAATATCGCTGCCTTTAATGAAGGGTGGTGCATATCTATGCAATCTCTATTTTTTTTTATTGTCTGGTAATCTAAAAAATGCAAATTCCAAATCTACTATTGCACAACACACAGAGAGATACACTGAGGCTATGCTTTCAGTTAGTCAGAGAACAAAAACAGGACTACAGAATGTGTATAAGTAATACACGCTGTCACTGGAGAAGAAAGGCTTTTTAACAAATAGTGGGACATACAATTATTATCTTGAGGGGGAATTTCAAAGCTCCCCATGGAACTTAGCGGTCTCTGGAACTCCTTTGCTATTTAAATGCTTTTGAAAATCTCACTTATTAAGTACTCATTTTGAACTTTATATGCTCCCTCCCTGAGGACATCAAAGTGTTCTGGAAGTAGTAATTAAGGATCATATGCTCTAATGGTGTTCTGGTCATTTAACCTACTTATCTCTGGTCGTATTCTAGCTATTTTCCAGATGGACTTACCCAGGCTGGGATGTGCCTTTTGTCCTTTACCAGTGAGCCAAGCCTCAGCCCCGAGCTGCTTCTCCTGTGCTCGGATAGAGCAGTGGGAGGTGGGGAGCATAACAAAACTGGGCTGGTCCCACAAGGAAGCACTGAAATGAGATTTGTACCCTGAGCAGCCCTGCCACACTGTTCTTACTGAATGCTCCTTCAGTGTGAATGGGTTATGAAAACATTCAAAATGTCATCTTGTGAACGTGTATTTTCTTAGAGCAGTGTGCCTCAGACATGTTCCACCAGGACCTAAACTGCCCTCATGTTCTGCTCTCATAGTCCTCTTGAAGATGGTTGTCTGGTATACTGTCATAAAAGAAATGTCATGGCATATAAGTGGAGTACTTTCTAACAATAAATCTGCTATTGACTTCAGATTTTCCTACATGTAAGTATGAAACTTTAAATGGATGATTTATTTTGTAAGATTTTATTGAAGATTTTCCCTCACTGACTGAAGTTTCCTTCTTGAGGACAGTTTAAATAGTTGTCCTCCTCCTGGCTGTAAAAGGGCAGCGCAGCTCTATCAGTCATTATCTCATGGCCTTTGATCAGTGCTGTTCATCCTACTGTGCACAGCTACCGGTGTTACCTGTGCTGATATCTCTTTGCTGGGATTAGTGCCATTTCTGAGCTGTATTTCCAAGACTGTATTACCAAGACTTATGAGGTAGACTGAGTGCCTGAACTGGTGGTTGGCAACCCTGCCCACAGCAGGGAGTTGGAGCTCAGTGATCATGAAGGTCCTTTCCAACCCAAGTCATTCTATTATTCTATGAGACAGAGCATTCATCTCACCAATCCAGCTGCTGGAGGTTTCCCATGCAGTGCTTGAGGGGGAGAGCAGAGGTTTTGCTCTCATGCACAGCTGTCAGCCAGATGCAAGTCACATCAGAAGTCTGTAAGGACACCACCTTGAGGGATTAGTGTTCTAGTCCTTATGGTCTGCCAGATAAATGATATTTGGTTTGTGTGATGCATCACAATACATCCATGCCCATGTATAATATATATTTTCAGATTTTAAGTACAATCCTCATTATTAGATATGCTGGAGTAGTGAAAACAGAATAATTTTACTTTCTTCTTCTGTCACAGACCTTTCCAAATATCAAACATATGCTTAGATCATAGAAACGCTGCAGGAAGAGGCAGCCAGGGCGTCCTGTGATAACTCCCTGCAGCAGTCCCTGATGCAGGATGCCTGCACTTTGGGAAGTTCCAGAGCTTGATGGTCTGCAGTAAGCCAGGGCAGCAAAGAAACCAGGGCCAAACACTGAAAGAGGTGTGTGTATGGTATTCCTAATACCAACTGTCTGCACTTACCAAGGCAGCACAATGCTGCTGCTTACCTGTGCTGCTGCCTAAGCTGTTAGAAGACAAAGGATGACTGCAAACAAGTGAAAGACAGATGAGAAAAATTTAATAGCAAAAACCCAGAGTTTTGACTTCATTTTACTTTTTTTTTTCTGTTTTGGGGGATGGTATTTAAACATTATCTATGTGTTAAGATGCGTGCAGACACTTATTTTCAGAGTTTTCAGGTGTTATGCACAATGCTGTCAATGCGTGCTGTTTTATGATGTTGGATCAGCAAACACTGCTGGCTTTTATCAGGTCAGCACCTGATCCTCCAATGAACTGTTGTGGTTTGATGGATGCATCCTGGCATTAAACTGGGTACACAGGTAGGACTGAACTCCTCCCTGGCTTCTTTGCTATCCCACAGGCCATTTTCTTTCTGGGAGATGCAGTCCCACTCTCCTCTGACAAAAGACTTTGTATTTACAGAGAAGTTTTACCTGCCTCACCCCTTCTCTCTGCTGGACCTCAAGGAGCATAGAGCTGGGCAGGCTCCAGTACTCTGTGAAACTTTTCTGGAAAACCAGGATGTACCATGCATGGGGAAGGAAAAGAGTGGAGGGTGAGAGCAGAGGCAGGTCAGCCTCCTCCAACCAGAGCTTGTCGAGTGTCTGAATTGGCTGAACATGCAAACCCCTGGTTATGAAAAATGAGAAGGACCGCTCTTTTGAACTGTGTCTGTTGGTTATATTTGAGTGGATCAATGTGCTAAAGCAATCCGAACTCAAAAACATCATATCATTTGATATTTTAAAAGATTTGCAGTGCCTATAAGGGAATTTTTTGGAAGGGATGCTGTTTGACAGACAGAACAGCCTGTGTTGCACAGTTCTTCTGTTTGTACCTGCTTGTAAGACATTGTAATACATAAAATAGTAATTGTAGATATTAGCACAGATATCTGAAATCTAGATAAGCAAAACCAGGTTAAAGTACAGTGCACCACAGTTAATTGAGGAAGTGCTGATGACATTTTCTGGACTGTTATGCAAGAGGCCTGAGTAAAAGTCATTCTTGCAAAGACCCCTGGCTTCGTGATTCCTGACAAGGGCAAATTTTTGGCAGAATATGTTTTCTGCACAAGCTTTGAAGGCCTATTTCTTTGAGCAGATAACTTCAGATGGCTCCTGTAGGCAGACTGACACATACATGGAGGTTTGGAGATCTGATCTCAAGTGGCACAGCTGGCACTGCTCTGCTGCCTGGAGAAGAAGTGCTTTGATTACATGTGGTGAGGTGCTGGCCCCGAGCATCCAGACTGCTTCACCCTATTGGTCTGAGATCAAAAACACAGATTTTGTTGGTTTACAAGGGTAGGAAGGATTTATCTCCTGCAGGGTGTGTCCAATCAGTTATGTTTCATAGATGCTGTGTACTGTTTTTGAAAAGAGAGAGAAATGGTTTGCTAAGAACAAACCTGTCTTACCCCATCTAATCACCCGGAGAAAAAAGCTGTTGAAAACAAATTTGCTTGTTCCTGTGTGGCAATGTATCAACACCAGACCTTAAACCTTCCTGAGAATCCAGCAGTCTTGCAATCGTTTTTGTTGCTTCTCTTGCTGATTGCTGCCATAGGTGAGTAAAAAAGTACCTTCCCAGCCATAAAGCTGGTGTGGAGGAAACTGAGCTTTGAATGGCCTCCTTCCTTGCACTTCCGCCTTTAATTGAATAATATACTATTCTTGAATAGATCCACTGGCTTCTACCCACTGGTATGAATGTGTCAGCTCAGCCGTGAGTGCTGATCCACACACTGCTGTGTGAGAGACAGGGCAGTACCTGCAATTTCATTCTAATGTGCAATGAACACAAATCATCTGACTTTGGATCAGGAAACAGAAAAATATGCAAGTATGAAGATAAAAACCCAAAGCACTAAGTTTTTACTAGTTGTCTGTGCAGATATAGGGATGACCGAGCACTGTTAGCACAAAGAATATTCACATTGGGGGCTGTCAATTCCAGACCTTGGCCCTTCTGCTGCTGCTGCAGAGGCTGACTGATGGTACAGGTGATGGGCCCATCACAGCACTGCCAGAGTGGTCTAAAACTGGCTATGGACTGTCCTGCAGGCTGCCAGCTGTACCCTGGCTGCTGCTTTCCTTCTTGCACTGCCGCTAAGGAGATACAAAGGCTCTCAATACCTACTTGCTGGCCACTTGCCTTCATTGAAACCGGGCTCTTGGAGCTGCTCTGAGGGCCGCCAAGAGAACACTGAGCTCCATTAAGTTCCCCATACTTAATCCACATATGTCCATGCACACATTCTTTGTGCAATTTCTACAGCGCTGCAGAACTCTTTTGTTTTCCTCACATATATGTGATGTGCAGCTTTGCTTCTGCCATCATCTCACAGTTTTACTGTGACTTGAAAAAAGAGTGTGCATGGGGCAGGATGGCTCACCAGCAGTTCAGGGAGGAGAACACTGCAAAACTGGATTAAAACAACTCTGAAGGGTGAGCAGTTGAAAGCTGGCAGTTAATTTTTGGTGTCTTGTTTAGCACATATCTCCACAGAACCTCTACATGTGTGTTAGCAAAGTGAATCTCTAGGCAAAAA